CCCAGGACAGAAGTTGTGCCTCCTGTGCAGGGGGAATTGCTGGGCTCAGCCCCTGGACAATGGGACAGTGATGGAGCAGAGCCTGGGAGTGCTCTGACCCTTCTGCACACAGGGACACACACAGGGATGGACAGGGACGCACAGACAGGGACAGACAGACAGGGACAGATGGAGACACCCAGGGACACCCAGGGACACCCAGGGACCCCAGGGACACCCAGGGCTGAGGCCCCTCTCAGCTGGGACTCCTCTCCAGGCTGAGCATCCCCAGCTCCCTCAGCCTCTCCCGTGCATTCCAAGAGCCAAAACTCCTCTAATCCATGCTGGGGGTGTTCAGAGTCCTGTACACTGTGACAATGGATTGGTCACACACAAATAAATAAATACCTCGGGAATGAGCGTGTGGAAAATCCAGCAAAATGAGTGTGAGGCATCAAAATTAGTGAGGAATTAAAACTGGGGGAAATTCCTCCTTCAGGGGGAAAAGCAGCCAAGAAATCCTGCATTAGTGCAGCTTGTTAAATCAGCAACCTGTTGTGTCTGATCTTGTAAGGCTGGGAGCAGCTTTCCCATTTCCCTGGGCTCCTCTGGGCTTGTTAACACAAGCTCTGCTATTCCTTCTCCAAGGGATTTTAATGCAGGAATTTCTTCTCCATTTCATTGTGGTCAGCGTTAATTCTCTGAGCAGAGCGTGCTGCAGGTAAAGCATCCTTTAGCCCCAGCCACCAGGTCATTTTTTTTTTTTCCATAAAACATCCCCGAGTTTTATGCTTGGAGCAGGAAATAACCACGAGATCTCTGAGTTCTCCAGGAGGTGCCACTTAACGAATGCAGGAGAATTTCTGCCTTCAGAACCTCTTCTCCTCGGGTCAACAAAGCTCTGAGCAGCCTCATTTCTGCACGTAGCCCATGCTTGTGGTCAATTATTCTTTGGTTATGTTCTCATGTGCCCCCAGGCTCCACCCAGGAGCTGCAATGTGCTCTTTGATTTCAGGGAGTTTCCAGAGAGGGTTGCAGCAAATGGCCCATGGCAACCCCTCCTGCTAATCTTTCACACGCTCCAGAACTTTGGGTTAAAGGGAGGACAAATCCCTTCCTCCTGTAATTGAAAAGATCCTCCTTTCACTTCCCCGAATCTGATTCATAAAATGCAGGATCTGAGCATCCTGCCCAGCTTTGTTACAGCTGCTGGTGGCCTTGCTGCTGCCACCAGGTGAGTGTGAGTGTCACCCTTCATGCCAGGGCTCACCAGCTCCTGCTCCTCATCTTCCTCAGGGCTCCCCGGCCTGGGATTGTCTTTCCAAGAGTGAGCTGAGGCTCAGGATGCCTCATTTCTGAGGGGGCATGTTCACATAGAGGATGGGATGGATGGAGGATGGACAATGGGATGGGAACAATTCATCCAGTGATTTCCACCACAAATCCTGGAGAAAATCTGAATGGATAAAAATCAACATCACGGAGTCAAAGAAAAATTTGGGTTGGGAGGGGCCTTAAAA